CTTATTTTTGCCGACGCATCACAGTTTTGGGTCGTTAATCGTCATTGATGCGCACACTAAGACATACCGGCATTAACCGTACAATCGATTTCCTTAAACAGATATATATTGGATACCCCGAAAAAGGCAATGTGTACAACCACAACTACGTAAGTGCATTAAATGCATCCAGATTTTCGGAATGTCTTACAGCGTATCCGATCCGCTACTGCTGCCTTAAGACCGAGTTAAGTATCATTATCCTTTTTCGGTAACCGGTGTTGATTTCACGGCAATTTGTACACAAAAAGAAAATACGACGAACAAAATGAAACATATATTTGTGATTGATTGATTGATTGTTGGTTGCTTAACGTCCAGTGGCAAATATTTCATGCATATTCAGGACGAGAACAAATTAACAATAAATACAATAGGTAGGTTCTGTAATAGGGGCGTCCGGGATTAAGGTCGGAGAAATTTAGACTGCCACGGGAAATGAGGGTATGTTGGATAGGGACAGAAATTTAGCCTTGCAACAGGTCACCTACGGACCCCTCAAAGAGTTGTTGCAAGGGTTCTTAACGTGCAAAGAGCGTGGCACTCTCTTTACACGAGGCATCGGATTTAACGTCCCCATTCTGACCGGACGTGGCTGCAAATTTGTACATCCCGCACAGCCAAACGGACGCCCCACTTTAGCAAGGGTTTTACTGCCGGTCGGAGGAAGACCAATGGTGACCATACTTCTATTCCCCAGTCACCCTTGGGGGTCATATATTTGTGTATTCACATGCACCGCAACCCAATATATTCAATTAATCCCATATTTGACTGAGGAGTCTTTTAACTTACAGTAAAGAGATTTGTTGCCACAAATAATGTTTAAAGAATTGTGTGTTCCGATAGATATCGACATTGAAGACAGCTGTTAAAAAGATAACAAGACCGAACCTATACAACCGTACGAAACAAAAACTTGCCGATAGTGGAACTGAATGCAAATTATAACAAGCAGTGATTTCAAATCTTTTGGGAGAGTCGATTAAAACTAAACTATGAAAATTTAGTGTTACTACAGAAATAATGAATACAATTGTAATTGAATCCGAAAAAACCCGAATGTGGAAATTACGAGTAGTACAGGATTTAGTTCTCGGATTTAGTAAAACCTCACCACATTTGTTTTATCGGTTTCCATTATCTTCATTAAATATTTGAGTTCTATCATTACAATATCACAAATTGACATACGAATGATTCTTTCATTTATCTTTTTCATTCATTCTTTAAATGTGTACTATTGATTCTTTATGATTATGCATTCTACTATGCATTTAAATATTGTCAAGACATGGACAATATATTTCGTCATATCTTCAGACAGACGACATCATTTGTTTTCTTTACCAAATGTTATAATCACCTTGGAACTCATTAGGCTTGCATGATACTGATCACATAAGAAAAATCTGTATGTCTAAATAAAGGCAACAGTAGTATACCGCTGTTCAATAGTCATAATTCAATTAAGCAAAAACAGATAACAACTGCCATATTCCTGACTTGGTAAAGGACATTTTAAGAGAAAAAAATGGTGGGTTGAACCTGGTTTTATGATTAGCCAAGTCTCCCGCTTATATGGCAATGTTAAAAATACCGCTATAATGACAATACTACGTGACAGGCATACAGTACAAACAAACGCAAGAACACTCAGCACAGAGAAATACATTAATAAATAATATATAGTACATGTAAATCGCAGAATAACAACGAACACCTCCCATGAACCTGACGACAGCACATCAGGACACCACAAACGAAAATGACGTTTTCCTTTATTTGATCATTTATGTCTAGGTGTGCATGGTTGATTTCAAATGCATCAAGGACTATGAAAATTTCTTGAAACATACAATAAATTTTAAGTTTGAATGTTAAAATATGTGTATTTGGGGTATTTTATAGGAATGTTATTGATGGTTTTTTTTTATTTAAAAAGAAATGAACTGGTTATTGAATGAGTTCAAAACTTTAAGCCATAATGTGGCGTCAAAATGGTGACGTCTGCTGCAAATAAAGGCACACGACGACTTACAACATATACTCATATTGCTAATTTTGAGATTGTTGTTCTGCAATACACTTGGTACATTATATGTATTATTCCCTTTATCCGTTAAGTTGCTCTTCTACTACAACTACTTGACACATAATAATGTTGCATGTGTGTACATTTTGTTTGTTTTTTTTATAATTTACTGCGTGATACTTATACCTCACTACATTTGTATATGGGTGTTCGTTATCTTCCAAAATAAATATTAAACAAAATGTTTCAAAACCTTGTAAACATATTTTGCAATGTATCATATTTGTATTGTGAATTTAAAACGAGCCTACATTGTTATTCATGTCTTTTTTTGATTCTCACTATGCACCAAGAAGTGTGTTTTTTTACAAGCGTCGTTGTAGGATCAGTCTATGTTTTAAGATATGTAATTTTATCGTGTGTCTTTTTATGTTGCAATGTTATACCACTGTTTCAGGTTAAGGTGAAGATCGGCCCCTGTTAAAACGTTTAAACCCGCTGCATTTTTATGCACCTGTCCTAAGTTAGGAGCCTGTTGTTCAGTGGTTGTTGTTTGTTGGTGTGGTTCATAAGTGTTTCTCGTTTTTTTATATAGATTAGACCGTTGGTTTTGCTGTTTGAATTGTTTTACACTAGTCATTTTGGGGCCCTTTATAGCTGGCTGTTCGGTGTGAGCCAAGGCTCCGTGTTGAAGGCCGTACTTTGACCTATAATTCTTTACTTTTTTCACATTGTGATTGAATGGATAGTTGTCTCATTGGCACTGATACTACATCTTCTTATTTATAAGTAGATACAAAGGTGTAAATGCGTGTTCCTAACATTTGCTTTGATGTATGTTGGAATTTACTTCACTGAATGTTTCGGATATTCATTTTCAATAAATAAGGAATTTGATATCGCTCTACAAATGACCATTGTTTTTTTATCTTTGAATTCTGTAACTACATTTACCAAAACATGCATATCATTAAAAATTTAAGTCACTTACCTTATATTTTAATCATTATTTGCACGTCTGCTGTTGAATCTTTATTATATAGCTTTATAAAATATGCTTATGCATTCTACTATAAATTTCACTAAATATCTGTGTATATACAAGGATATACTCAACAACATTTTCAAAACTTGGCAAGTGTATTTCGTCATATATCCAGACAGCTGACATAATTATATTCATTCTGAAATAAGAGAATTCCTATGGAAGTGCTTAAACTTACATGGGACTACTGATGTATTGGGACATGGAAGAAATGTCTTGAGACGTTTAACTTCATTCATCATTTATGCATGTTTGTGTTTCAATGATTTTGAATACATCATGCACTATGTCTATATTCATAAAAATATATTGACACTTAGTTGGAGTCTTAATAGACGCACAATTGGTATATCATACTTATGTTTTGGAGTTTAAATAGAGTATTAATAAAATACGATTCAAAATTAAGAACTGTTTTTTTTTTGACAAGTGTCCTCACACGGAGAATAGATGTTTTAAGAAATGGAAGTAAAGACAAAGGTGAACATGGGTGTTCCTAATGTTTGTTATCGTGCTTTGTACATTTTTATATCAGTCACATTGGTATCGTGACTAGGATACAATGGCGAAAAAAAAGCTGTAACAGTAGGCCATCGAGGATCCGCAAGAAAATGTATTTCCTAGATAGAAGAAGTGATGCAAAATTCAACAAGACAACGCGACGAACGTGTGAGACTTTAAATAAAAAAGACATTATTAAGCAACAGGACGGTGAAATTCTAGAAGAGATAAATGAGGAAAATATTGAAGCTGAAATAATACAAGCAGATCGGTATTTCTTAGATATAAACGTAGATTGACAAAATTACGCAAAACATCAAGCTCAAAATAGAATAACAGATCAAATGAAACTAGCTTAAATCAGAACTTAAATCCAAAATCAGCAGATTTCGTATATATGCAGAATAATGAAAGGCACTACAAATTCTAGCCTCTATCTTAAGCTATCAAAATTAAATCTTCCATATTTTAATGGCAAATTGTTAAACGGTCAACCTTTATGGGAAACGTATCAATCAACAATACATGATAACTAAATATTAACAGATGACCAAATATTTACGTATTTGCAAATTCAGGGCATATCCGCACAATGTATCGTCTGATTACCCATCACAAGTGCAAATTACTATCAAGCCGTAGCAATACTGAGAGAGAGGTTTTGTCAGAAACTCAAAATCACGAACGCATCAATTTCATTGATTTGCATGCACCGACGTAAAACGCAGACAGCTTGAGAAAATTTGCAGACAGAATTGAGAGTAGCATACGCGGATTGGAATCTTTAGGAACAAATGAGAGCACATTTGTAACCATTCTTTCTTCTTTTATATACAATAAGTTGTCTTCCGATGTACAAAACATAACTCGAGACCGTGGAAACAACTACTGGTTAATTGAGTGTAGCAATACAGAGGAATGTATGCGTTTTGTATTTTAACTTCCCCAATAAGTTCCAATGTCCCCTGTATTGCATATATTTTATTTGTCTAATGACAATAACTAAAAGAATTATTTTTTAAATTGTTCTTCATAACTTTTAACGGTGGCTCATAGGACAATCTATAGGTGCAAGTCATGAAGAATCAGACATTTTACCCACCGCTTTGTTTGTTGCCGAAACGATTAACGGAAAGAACGGGAAACACTTTCAGTCGATGACATGTAAGAAGTGCTTGTTTTGAGAAGAATCGCATTATCCGAGTACATGCAAAAACGTGCCAGATGTTGAGAAACGCATAGAAATTGTAAGGCGAAAAAGGTATGTTTTAACTGTTGTTGGAAATCACAGATATCAAGAGCTTACCAGATATATCATCACACACACTGTATATCAAAGTCAGATGGACCCAGTTAGCCGACATTCAAAACTCGCAATGATCATGTACGAACTTTACTATTACATTTAATAAATAAGAATCTGATGGTATATCAAATATGTTAATCAATCAATGACGAAAGTGAGGTCAAGGTCAGGTCATCCGGTCATTCATATGCTAGTGTATATGAGTGTTGAGCGCACCTTGAATCTGAATGTGGTTGAAACTTGTACGAGCTGCAACTGAAATTGCTCATTAAAAAGTCATCAAAGATACCAGACTTATAATTTAGTACGCTAGACGTGCGTTTTGTCTTCAAAAGACAGCGACGATTGAATAAAAAAGTTAAAAGTCAAAATAAAGTACGAAGTTTAACAGCATTGAGGACCCAAAGGTAATTTATACGACGTCTAACGAGATGCACACGATATTGATAAATTACTGCAACGTCGATGAGATGTCTTGTTGCGTCATTATTATGGAGTTATGATTGATATGAAATTTTGTGTACCTCCGTTTCTATCATAATATAATCAGGCATATTAATGTAAGATAATATTATGAATAAGTCTATTTTGTAAACACATGAACACGTTGAAGTCCTTTCCCCAAATAATGTTGAATCCAATTTGTTGTCAGATATGGGTATCTTTTTTTACCATAACACCTGTGTGCATTGAATGTAATGTAATCTCTATTTATGTCGTATAGTACACCGAGTACCAGAGATCCATTTGTTTTTGTTACACACCAAGCCCTAGCCACTACTATTAAATCGCCCCACGGATTCAGAGCATCCCCATACCTTCCTAGTCCAGAATGTTCTATCGAACTAAATGATACAACTGCGTCAAATAATCCCAATGTATTATCTAGAAATGTTCGTCTATATTCAGATGGAACCATAGTTGTTATTTGCTCATGTTCAGATTTTATCCTTCCATATTCAAGTGTAACAATATTTTTTGCACCTATCTCAAGTAAGCATGCTTCAACCCATGGTTTTTCAGATCCTATGACTAGGACACGCCCTCCTTTCACTCCTGGTGCATGTTGTAGTCCGTCCCTCAGTGCGTTAGTTTCAGATATTCCGTAAACACCAAACAGTTTACCTTTTTTTGCTAGCACTACATACTCCTTGAGTAAAGATTTGGTCCAAATAGGTATCCTCGCAGTACTACCAAGGTAGGGTTGGTTATAATAGGCCGTGTGCACTTTTATTTTTCCATTCATCGTATAATCATTCAATAAAATTGAAGGTATTTTTCTTGGAGCATGAGCAAGTCCATGAGATGAATCAACTACTCGTTTTGAAATAAAGCTTCACAATTTATAGTGGCTGTAATTTTATCAAAAAATATTCCTGGAGTTCCTTTTCGTGATGTGTTACACAGCTGGCCACATAATAACCTTGTTTTGTTTATTTCCTCTAAATATGTAGAAAAATATGAATCGCGTTTGCTAGTCGTTTGATCAGTAACAGGTTCTACGTGTTTTTCAATAGTTCTTAATCTCGTATGACGGAACAGTATTATGAATAAAGAAATGCAAATAATGATTAAAACAAATTTCGAATACTCCATCAGTTTTTCCATTTATTTTTTTTTGTCTGAATAACTGAAAAAAAATGTATCCTGCAAAAGAAGAAATATACAGGTTAGTGGTTATCAATAGCATCTTGTTAAACAGTGTTCTCGGGAGCCTTGCGTTATTCCTTTTTTTTCAATTAATTGAATAAATTATAACATGTTTGTATTTGTTTTATTAATATAATGTAGTTCATTTATCTCCTGTTTACATATTAGCAAGACAAATTCCCCAACTGATACATGCACGTTACACAGATAATATCTGTACAATCCATTCAAAAGTTATCAAGGATAAGTCGGTTCAATCTACAAACCACTTATGAATGTAATAAATACTATCAATCCTGGTCTACATCGATTTTATTACCTCTTACAAGAAAACTTTACTGATCTGAACTCACTTACAACCTGTTTTCGCAGTCTTATATCTCTAGATACCAGAATACAAGTAGTCTGATCTGTAATTTTACCGAGTGTGTCATATTCCCGATTGTGACATTTTAACTGAGTGTTGATTCGTATGGCGGGTGATGCAAACACAGTTCGAGACGCTTACCCTGTCGAAGGACCTTGTTTTGCTTCTTTCAGTTCATGCGATTCCCTCAGTTTTTGTTTGTTGCGTTGATTTGCCTTCCCAATCAATTGATAAGATTTGAACATCGATAAACTACTGTTACCTTATTTTACCTGACCTTTCACAATCGTATCACTAGTAAATTAATTCTAGTCGTAAACGGTTATTTCGATCTGAACATCTCCTGAAAAGTCTGACCAATAAATTATGCAGTCAGGTTCAGTAATTTAATAAATTTTCAGACTTAACTACTCTGGTAGACTGAACTATCTTAATTGACTGCAAACGAGTCCTGAACAGTACTGAATTCACCGCAGGGAATAAGTCTGAAAATAACGTAAAAGCTGTTTAGATCAAAATTACCGTTAAAGACTAAAATTGGTTTACTAGTGTATGTAATGATACTATAGTTGTTTAGTATCATTATGTAAATTTGAACTGTCGCTAGTATTGATATCAGATCAGAAAGGTTAAAGAATAAAATGGATGATAAAAGTTTAAGACATGAACTTACAAAATAGTTAACTATAATTGATAACAACGATATATCAGATTATTTTTTAGGTAATAAAGATAATATTAGAGAAAAAAAATGGACTTATGAATCATTAATAAATAAATGAATAAAATCAATGATTTGTACACAGTCAGTAAATATTCTTACTACACGAAAACTTGCAAAACATCAATGAAATTGATAAATTAAGTAAAGAAATTAATAAAATAGACAAAAAAAAAAAAAATAATTAAAAGACAAAGATAAAAAAAATTGTTTCAGAGATAACATTACCAGAATCTGTTTCAATGTATAATTGCTAGAATCTGTTCACGGTACAACTGTCTAAAAATGTTCAAGGGTAGAACTGTTTAAAATGTTTCAGGGTAGAATTTTCAGAATCTTTTTTATTGAGGAAATGTCTTATAAAATAAGAAGATGCGGTATGATCACCAACGACCCAACCCTCTACCGGAGATCAAATGACGCAAGAACGTTAAAGCTATAGGTCACCGTTCGGGCTTCAACAATGAGCAAAGTCCATACTACAGAGCAAGCTTTAACAGGCTATGAAACGAAAAATGCAAAACAATTCAAACGGAAAAACTAACGACCTGTTTTATGTGGAAGACAATAAACAAACAACAAACAACAACCACTGAATTACAGGTTCCTGACTTTAGACAGGCACATACAAAGTGTGGCGGGGTTAAACATGCTTGAGGGTGCACCAAACCTTTCCTTATCTGGAACAGTGGTGTAACAGCACAGCATAAGACAAAACTAAAAGTATAAGTCAACGTGCTGTTGCTAGACAATTTCAAGACCGAAATTCCCCTTTCAGTTCTTACAACAAAGGTACAGGCAGACGGGATTATAAACTTAACACACATGTCCAGATAAATTCGTTGTTAGGACGCTACATCTAAAAATTCCATTACGCAAGACCATTCACGATAGGGATCTACGAGTGCAATGTTAACTGCCAACCGAATCGCCGGATGTCATGGCAAACTGATTTACACTAAAAGTTTCCCATATACTAAAATTCCACAGAATCCTCCACAGAAGATTATTTTAAAGGTTACAGTTTAAACAGCATCATTGCAATAGACAGACAGCAATGGACGAGATCGAGGCAAAATCAGCCGGGACAAAACTGTTAAAATATCCCCCACATTAATGGTCGAGTTCCCTGTCAATCATTTAAGCGTATGTTACAAGCACTCATTGCCTTCGACGGCAAACACTCCAGTCAATAATAAGAAGAATCAGAATTTCAGTGGCATCCATTGGGTAATCATAAACAGTAATCGTAATCGATTACATTTTGTCATGCAATCACATGTTGTCAGTAATCATGCAACTTCTGATTACAATTACAAGTAATCTTAATTTAATCGATTACAGTGTAAAAACAGATGTGAATATGATTACTTTGAGATTACTTTTAGATTACATTGATACGATTCCTTCCTGATTACAAATTTGTATATGAAAATTGTTTTGTTGAATGTCCACGTAGATTAAACAAAATACTTTGTAAACTATATTTGTAGACTTATTCTCCAATTAGAGTTACTATCATAAGTGTTCCATAAGGGAACATAAAATGTTTTCAAAGCAATCTTATATCAGAGGGATTCAATCTCAAAATGAAACATTTGGAAACTTCAAAGGTTAAACCATTTTGTGAACTGTAAATGCTAAAAGTAATTCTGAATAGGATTAATCATATTGAACAATGATCAATCATTCACTGACGGATTTTAAAAACGGAAAAAAGAAAACCACCAAAGTGTGTGTTGCGTTTTTAAAGTCCGTCAGTTTATTGAACACTAGTTTGATCAATTTTGTATACATGCTAGTTCATTGTTCAGTTCTTTTTGTAAATTGAAAATTTGCATTGGGCTGAAAAATGAATAACAACGTTATTTCTTCAGAAAGGAAATTTGTTTTTGATGGGGTTCGTGTTGCTCAGTCTTTGGTTTTCTATATTTTGTTTTGTATACTGTTGTTTGTCTTTTGGTCTTTTTCCTTTTTTTTGCCCTGGCGTTGTCAGTTTATCTTTGGTATCTTTCGTCTCTTTTTTTTCTATTATATTAGAAGGTACACATGTTTCACTGCACTTAATCCAAGTTCTGAATAACATACATATACAAAAAATGTATTAAAGATATCAAAATCACAATGTTTAACAAAAATTGGTTTTTTTTTATGTGAGGATAAAATGTTCTTTTATATCACAGTATTCAATGTAATCATACGCAATCTAGCATTTTTATTTATGATTACTTTAAAGGATAATAATTTAATGTAATCGATTACATTTGAATTAAGATGTTATTTTTATATAATCGATTACATTGAATTAGCAAAGTAATTGTAATTTAATCAATTGCTTTGAAAAGTAATCAACCCCGTCCCTGTCCAGTGCATGACACATGATTTGATTTTTAAACGTGACGTAATTAGTTCAACTTTCGAACTGAACTGCAAACTTTATCTAGACGATAAGTAATGAATAACATGTTTGTCTGTTACTGGTTTTTTTCCAAGTATTGCATTTTTGAACAGGAAAATAGTATCTAGTGTTGCATTTTTTAAGGTGCGTCAGTAAAGTAAATAAGAATTGACGGGAAAGCTAGATTCTTTTAATAGGGGGAAAAGGAAGTATTTGTGAGTTTTTACTCTAGAAAGTTGGTTTTTTTTTCAAATTAAGGGGGCGATCATTTCATAATAGGAGAATTTTTTCCACACACACTTTTATTGTTTTATCATTAGACAACACTGCATGAATATTTATCTTATTTTTCATGCAAAACTTTTTCCACCATTTTGCAGTTAAGGGTATGTTTTTCAATACAAAGGAATATTAAAGGGAGTCCCTCCAAACACGTTTATCATGAATCTCTACTTACTTTGGTGTCTGCGCACGACGTTTGAGACCAATCAATATTAAAGAAATAAATCATTTGCATTTAATGTTACAATAATACATTCTTAAACAATCGAGCCACACAAAACTGATCAACAATAACACATAATAATTTGTGACTAGGTATGTCAATGTACATCTGCTATCAATACGCATTTTTAAAGTGTGAATTCACATTTTTATGTGACGTATCCAATATCAAATACTTGAATACATAATTCGTAATATCATATATGCAATAGAAATCATTCTTACCTTCTCTTCTTTATATTCCCTATTACTCAGACCATACAACAAACCATAAAAATACACCAATGTGGCATTTATATTGACCAATTACAATTAAATTATCTGACATATTGTATTTGTTTTATTTGAGTATAACTCTTGAAGATTATCGAATAGAATGGACCCAATACATTGTATCAATATGCATATCCATTTCTACGGTTGAACGAGTTTCAATTCGCTTTTTGGGACAAACATGCATGCATTTACAAAAAAGGCGAATGGAAAATACACTAATAATATAGCAATGAAAACAGAAACGACTGAAACGGTAACTTACATATTTATTTATTCTATAAACCCATTTTTTAAACATGAATTTCATACTAATCTGTCAAGGAGTTTCCAATGATATTGATTGATTCATCTCTGTATAGGTTAAACATAAATAGCATCAATGTTTACCTCTGGGAACAAACTCCGTATATTTACAAATGGCATAACTCCTGCAAAAATAGTTCATGGGTGCTGATTAGCGAATTCGTCCAAGACCTTACTGATATAAACCTTTAACATAAATTTCATAAAAATCTGATGAAGAAAGTAGATTTGAGAGCCCTTACAATGCAATGTTTCATATGATTTCAAAGGAACATATTAATTTGATTTACTTTATCAGCACTAATATTCGAACTCGTCCAAGTCTTTGTCAACATAAACCTTTGATATCATTTTATAAAAACCTGGCAAGAATTGTACGTTTGAAAGTGATTACAAGACCAACCAACGGGAACATGGACAGAGGTACGTAGGCCCAGTAATTCTATGTCCACCAACTCAAACCCCCAACCGCGTTGTGGCGAGGGATGGGGGACAAAAAAGTTAACGAATCGTAGTGGAACTTAAAAATTTGTGAATTATTTTTCAAACAATTTAGTATATTCATAAAATATACGTTTTATTCAGTTTTTTGAATTGCTGATGAATACAATTTTGATTACCATGGATATTCATTATTTAAATTAAATGCAAATACTATAGCACAATCTTTTGACATTTAGTAAAAGGTGCATATTGCAACTTGGGACAGGCACATACACAATGTGAATGAGTTAAACTAGTTTGCTGGCGCCAAACCCTCCCCTAACATGAGACAATGGGACAATGGTGTAACCCTACAATATAAGAAAAAACTATAAACATCAGTTGAAAAGGGTTTAATTCATCAGATCGATACAAAGCAGAAAAACATCTAACAAAAACACAGACCGCACGTGGACGGGTATTTATACATCCCATACAAAATAAAAAACACAAAGTAGCGATCTGTGAATACATGCAGTTACTGACAGCTATTAACGCCAATAACAACTAATAAAAAATCATGTATCTAAGATTAACATATTATTCAGTACACATCTAGCGAAATCTTAATATTCATTTTCTTACCTAAGACGAAGGATGAAAAGATAATGAGGATGTTTTTGTTTAGCAAAGAAAATTGCTATGTAGGAGTAAAACCTAAAAAACGCTATAAAATATATCTTATTTCATAATAAGACACACATATATAAATGAAGGCGACATTAGTTTACTGATGTCCAAATCCTTTAAGTCGCTTAAGAAGAGACAAATCATCGACATTGATTATCCTAAGGACACAAAAACTGAGGAAATCGCATTTACTTCAAAAGGAGTGAAACCGTGTGCGTACGCGTTCACAGGGCAAGCGTCTCCTGCTATACTACGCGAAATTACACTCAATTTCAGTCCAGATCTTCTTCATAGTCCTATTATTGACGTTCTTCTAGTGTTAAAATACACGAATGTAATGTATTGACTTAAATATGTAAACGCCATACGATGGAGCAGAGGGTATGTTACTGCTGAGAAATGGGAAGCTGCAGATTGGAATGTTGAAATTATCATGTTTTTCATAGATTCTAGTTTTAGAATATACAGAATCTGATCTATATGCTGATGATACAACTTTGCATTTGTCATCTAAATCTATTGCAAATTTGAATATATGTTTGAATAAAGACTTAGAAAATGTTATTAAATGGTGTAAAGAAAATGATATGACGATAAATAGCAAGAAATCAAAATGTATGCTTGCACCTGTCCTAAGTCAGGAAACTGATGTTCAGTAGTTGTCGTTTGTTGATGTGGTTCATAAGTGTTTCTCGTTTCTCGTTTTTTATATAGATTAGATCGTTGGTTTTCCCGTTTGAATGGTTTTACACTAGTAATTTTTGGGGCCCTTTATAGCTTACTGTTCGGTGTGAGCTAAAGCTCCGTGTTGAAGACCGTACTTTGACCTATAATGGTTTACTTTTTTAAATTTTGACTTGGATGGAGAGTTGTCTCATTGGCACTCATACCACATCTTCTTATATCTATTGTTGGATTAGACAAAAAACTGGAAAGCTGCAATGAATGTTTATGTGTTTTATCACAAGATAATATCACTTTAGATAATGTTGAAGTTGAAAAACTTCTTGGAATTCATATTGATTAAAAATCTACCATGGGCAAATCAAATTGATAAAATATGTGAAACTATTTCAACCAGAATATACCTGTAAAGAAGTTTGAAACGTTATTTACCATTAAAGGGTCTTATTCTTTTTTTACAATAGCTATATATTGATATAGGAAGATGTGGTATGAGTGCCAATGAGACAACTCTCCATCCAAGTAACAATTTATAAAAGTAAACCATTATAGGTCAAGGTACGGCCTTCAATGCGGAGCCTTGGCTCAAACCGAACAGCAAGCTATAAAGGGCCCCAAAAATACCCATTATTGACTACTGTTGTACAGTATGGGGTCTTACCACAAACTGTTATCTGGAAAGGATACATAAGCTCCAAAAACGTGCTGCAAGATTAGTTTTATCTGTTTCTTTTGATTTTCCATCAACTTTAATGTTTAAAAAGCTTGATGGGATGACCATTTTTACGAGGATACAATATTTTCAAGCTGTGTTAATGTTTAAATGTATGAATGGTTTAGCACCTGATTATCTATCTATTACATTTACTGCTTGTACTGATCTTTATAATTATTGTCTCAGGTCGACAACATCAGGACTTCTTCATGTACCAAGACCTAATTCTGATTTTTTTAAAAGAACATTTAAATATTCTGGTTTAATTACCTGTAATAATTTGCCAAATAATATTAAAGAAAGAAATAATTTAGATACATTTAAGATCAAATGTTCAAACTATTTTTTAACTGTACAGAATGACGATACCTGAATCTAATGTATATTTTTTTCTTCTATTGAATGCATATGTACTTATTCAATATTTAAGCTGGTTAATATAACTGTATTATGTATTTTATTTTTGCTTTCTGTTTGTATTAATAGTTTTTGAAGGCTTCAGGGAAGATGTCATTGTTAAATGGGTAACCTTCGTTAAATAAAGACTTTTATTATGATTATTATTCTTTAAATCGTTCATCTGTGTCGATATTGAGGAAAAAATCAAGATATGAAGCAGGTCTTCTACGTTCGGTAGTATTGGTAATCTCAAGTTTTCTTCGATGTATGAGAAAAAAGTAAAATCACAAAAATACTGAACTCCGAGGAAAATTCAAAAAGGAAAGTCTCTAATCAAATGGCAAAATCAAAAGCTCAAACACATCAAACGAATGGATAACAATGATAGAATGAGATGTTAGCACTCATTGGTGTGTGGTTTATTGAGTGACAGAAGATCGTCAATATATCTAAAAGTGAATTTGAAAAACTTTGAAAAATACTTTGTGTTTAGCATAAACCTCACAAAAAGAACCTCATAATGAGACTAGGATGCGATAAAACTACTTCAGTGAATATTGACGTAATCATTTTTTCTATCAAAATTAACGCGAAATATGTTTCAGGAATGCAAATGTGCAAATTTAAGTTTCGTCTGAAACTTTCAAATATCAAAGCTTATTCTAATATTGCAAAACCTACTAACGACAAAATGTTGCAAAAAAAGTTTAAATTAATTGATGTCATATTCGCTTTGTTTTTTGGAAATTCGTATTAGACCTTATTTCAAAACTTATATTTGCTTCAGGATTTAATAGTGAAAACGTTCTAGGTGAACTGACTCAATTATCCATAACAAATACCTCAACTATGATTCAAACTTACTTCCACAAAATATAAATTGATGCAAAAGTAATGTAGATAAAACTTCTTACCTTTAGATTAGAAAATGCATAATATAAATAATGCTGCTAATTTTGAACATTTGAATGTATGTCATGCTCTGTGTTATACTGATAGTTGTACTGTTAAAGACTGAACTGATCTTTAAACATGTACACCAAATTGTATTATATTATGTAACTTAAATATGTCTTTGTATTAAATATCGTGCATGTATAATTGATATAACATTGCATATTATCCTGTATGCTGTACTTTTCTTTGGACTAAAAAAGATATGCGAAAGATACCAAAGAGAGGCGAAAGATACCAAAGAGAGGCGAAAGATACCAAAGGGACATTCAAACTAATAAGTTGAAAATAAACTGACAACGCCATGGCAAAAAAAAAGACCAATAGACAAACAACAGTACATAAAACACAACAAAGAAAACTAAAGACTGAGCAACACGAACCCCACCAAAAACTTGAGGTGATCTCAGGTGCTCCGGAAGGGTAAGCAGATCCTGCTCCACATGTGGCACCCGTTATGTTGCTCATGTTAGTACTAATCCGGTAAAAAGTCTAATTCGGTAGGTCACATTCGGGGAAAAGGGGACGGGATGGTAGTTACGACAATTGGAACTTATCCTCTGTCATCTGTGAAACGGATCTTCCACAAAGGGACATTCAAACTCATCAGTAGAAAAAATAAACGGACAACGCCATGGCCCAAAAAAAACTGAGCAATATGAACCCCACCATAAACTTGGGTTAATCTCATGTGCTCCGGAAGGGTAAGTAGATCCTGCTCCGTCGTGTTGCTCATGTTAGTACAAACCCCTGTGTTTGATTAAGGATACCCTGACAATGCATATCAACTGTCTACATATATCTCTGACATTTGTTTTCCTTCATTATATCTCAAAAGTTTAAAGTCAAATATTGAATAAAGATTCAACTCTTAAACGCTCAACGTTTTGGCTTACTGAAAATTTAAATTTGCATATGCTGTTTGAAATACGTGTACATACTATATGACCCGAAAATTTCATTAGTTAATCCTTCTCACTGAAATTGTTTTCCTTCAGTGAAACATAGTCTAAGCAAAGGAAATCATCAGGAATTTAATCCTTTGAACCTTCTCGTTTAAAAATACTTTACAATATAAAAATATAACAATAGTTCAAAAAACATACAACAGAATTGACCTTTAAGACTTTAACATATTTAGTCTTGAAATTCCTAGAGAAATGACTGTTTAATTGTGGAAAACTTATTAAAGAAAAGAAATGAGAATTTGATCAGAACACAAGTAGATAATCCAATAAATGAAGATCTCTCTCTTCTCTTAGTCCGGTTAACACACGCGTATTAAAAAATGGATAAACTGTTTGTATGAAAGAGAGGCGAAAGATATCAAGGGGTCTTTCAAAACTCAAAATTCGAAGGGAAACTAACAACGCAATGCCAGAAAATGAAAGGTAATAATTATACGAACAAGTCTACAAAAGACTACATAGAAAACTAAAGTATGAGCAGCTCTAGATGCTGATAGTCAGCATCAACTGAGAGTAATATCATGTGCATAGGGAGGATGATATATTAAATGGCAAAATGTAATCAAATTAGTAATTGTGTATGTTTGGTCAAATGAATTTTTTATCGTTGCAATTGCAGCGGTTGTTAATTTTAATAATTCATCATGTAGAACTGTGGGCTAGTTTGTTGAATGAGTTACAATCTTTAAAAGTTCAATCTCTTGTTACAAGCAATCATATTGAAAGGATTGATACAAGTCACATTGCTGCATTGCTGCATACACGACTCATACATTGAGTAAGTAAGCTGTACGCTTCATGCTCACTACAGTTCAGTATCTGATAACATATAAAGATACCAGCTTTGTACAAACAAACAAAAACAATAGACGTTAATTTGTGCCAAGAGCAGTATAGTTGTGGTTTGAACATCTTCCTACTGATCTTCTGAAGAAGAGAGCTTTCTGGTCAATTAATGAAACAACAAAATTGGTAATAAAAAAAGAGGACATCAAACGCAAGTAGAACAGAGTATGCTTATGATCCTTCCAAAACAACTTGCCATTACTTAGAATGGTCAAGGAATAGTTAACAATGAAAAGGAGCTATAGACAAATACTCACATTATTCACTTAGTACGAGATACAGTGATACCTAATAGCAAAGCATAAACCAAATGGATACAAATAGTCTTACCGTTTTTTAAAATTAATATTCATTCATACTCATAATCCAATAGGTTTATATAAAAAAATATACTATAAGTGTTACATGTTTGTAAATGAACTTAAAGTTATCTCATTGGCATTCATACCACATCTTCTTATATCTATTAAAAAATGACAAATACGAACATTGCCTTTAAATATGAAATTATTTGAGATAAGCTTTCGAATTTCATAATAATGCTTAGTGTTAGTTGGTCTACTATAAGTAATAGAAGTACTATACAAAAAACAATTTGTAGTTATATCTATAGCATATCATTCATTGTCATTAATTTTCTCTTGTTATGCATTATGTTTTATTACATTATTTGTCATGTTTTATATGTCATGTATGTTGTACACTTGGATTACGCAATGTAATATTTATCATATGTGATTTGTCCAATAAAATATTTGAATTTGAATTTAAGTAAAATAATTGAGAAAAAAAATCTAACAAAGAGAAAAAGACGAGGAAAAACTGAAAACCTTCTTTGTTTTCAGAATTGGCCTCTTCGTATGACAAACACATTAGGACTCGGAGGTGCGTTGGGGGCACAGAAGTGCCATGGTCTGTCGTTTTGGACGTAGTGTTTAAGATTGTCAGATAAAACCATGATATAGCGATTAAAAAAGAAAGATATAGTGCCCCGACAAAGCATTTTATATTTCCTCCATGTGCAGTAAAAATATTAACGGTGAACTATCTTATTCCTTGCTCTCATTCGCAGGAATAGATTTGTTGCTTATTTTTTGTCGTTCTGATTAAGCAAACAGTATTTGAATTTCTAAAAGCTTCCAGGTTTTTCAGTCATTAAAATTGGTACTGATTGTAATGGACATTAATCTTTACATGTAGCGTCTTTACTGGTCAATTTCTACACGCTTGAATAGACGTTGGATTATTTCTGTCCAAGCATATTTACAAAGTAAACAACAACGTTTCAGTTATGACTGCAAATGTACTGACTAGTTATCATGACTATTTTTAATTAAACGGGTTATACTCTCGGTGATTTACTTTAAAACTCGAAAAGCTGCTTCTAAGAAACAAATCGACATTAGAAAATGAATAACATTAAAAATATATTAATCCAACGCACTTCAGCGTTACCACTAACGTACTTAGGTGTAGCTTACACAAGATATCAAGATAACGTCAAAATGCCACCATCGCACTTCTGCGTGATCAAAAACGCACTTCAGCGTCTAACCATTGCACTTTAGTGTCACCATCGCCGATGGGAGTAACATCAATGTTCAGAGTCTTACATATATATCAGAACAGATTTGAAATGTATTATAATGAAACATATAATATATTGATGTGCGAGGGTTTTGTCAAAAGAACATCTTAGTTAAGGACCTCAATGCACCCACCTAGCTATATAACATATCATCTGTACTTTCTGTTTTGCCCAGTCGTAACAAAATCAAATGATGTAATTTTCGTCAAAAGTCAATAATAAAACATCCTAATTTTTTTTTTCGATAATGTATGGAATTTTCTTGTTAATGTACGATAAATTTCCGAAAGTTCATATGAACCTTATAGAACCGAATACAATAATTATAAATGTTTTTTCAGAAGTAAGGGTCTTTCAAACAAATATCAACATAATAAAAAAAACATAAATTGAGCGGATTCAGAGTAGTTCTAGTGACTAGTGAAGGGCCATTCTATATTTTGTGATGGGGATAATGGATGTTGATGGAAATGAATGTGATTGATGATCTCAAATACTAAAGATCAATTATATTGCCCAAGAAAAGGATTGTTGGTCCATGGAAAACCTCTTGTTTAACTCCAACCAAAGAAATGAATTGGTCGTCCTCTTTGTAATTTTGTAAGTTTTGCCTTGTTCTTTTAGGTCCGACAAATTCTCAAAATCATCGTTTTTTGACAACATGCCCAAAATGTGCTGACTTTTGAGGCCTAGAATGTACTCTAATCAAGAGAATTGTTTTACCTAGTAGGTTTTTGAAATAGATGAATTTAATAACCAAATTAAGGCCACTTTTGAAATTCTATGATAAAGTTAAATGTAAAGGCCATATTTGCCAAAAAATACACATTTTGGTTTCCTTTGCAACTATCATAGCACTCTGAATACCAAACATTTTGTAGTAAGTTATTGATTAAAACATTGATACTCTATATTCAACAATTTGATAGAAGGCTGGTGTATATTTTGTTCATGCAATTGTGTATAGTTTGCTTTCATTAATGCAATGAAAAATGACGTCTGCTCCTGTGGTTTTGACAAAATTCAGCCAACATATTTTTATATATTTCATTTCTGTTATGGTTGTTAAGTATCATGTTTTTGAAAAATATTAACAGATATCATTAAATAAAATCTGGTTTTGATTCAGAATGACTGCAAAGTAGTTGTTTTTCAATGCTTAATTCCCAACAATGTACGGGAAGACCCATTGACTTGGTTGCCATGGTATTTTGGGGAGGGGAAGAGGGGTGCATTTTCCTTATTTTTTTACCTAATTCTATGATTAGGCTAAACTTCAAGAATATTGTTGACAATGCGTGTTTTTATTGTATAGATATTGATTTTGTTATCAGTAAAATAAATACAAACTTAATATTATTGCTACACACATATGTACATTCATGGTTTTACAATCTGTCGATACCTATATTTTTGCATTCCACATGGTCATGTTTTTCTCTGACTGTAACTGACGTCTTTAAACTTAAATCCGTTGGAAGTGTACTGACTGATATAAAAAATGAAAACAACACGTTATTAATGTCATGCGTCCGAAGCACTTTTCTGGATTAACCTTCATCAGGGACGCTCAAAGCCGAATATTTGAAAGTCGAGGATGCATTAGAACCGAAATATTTGAAGAGCTATATGACCATAAAAAAACTAAAAAAAAAAAACTAGCCTAATTCTTCTAAGGTCAACTTTGCCTGACGGAATTGAAATCTTAGTTTCTTTATAATTTCAAAATTTATAAACGATATGTTAGTCTTAAACACATGATTTGTTATTAGTTGTTATTTGCTTTGAACTAGATTTCAGTGACTACGAGTGTACTCTCAGATCTGTAAACAAAATAGATGTGCTCTGTAGCGATCCTTTTCAACTTTCAAAATTTATAGTTTGTTTTTATGTTGAACACCACTGTCCCAGGTTAGGGAGAAGGTTTGGCGTTAGGTAATATGTTAAACCCCGCCATATTCTGTATGTGCCTGTCCAAAGTCAGGAGCCTGTAATTCAGTGGTTGTCATTTGTTGCTTTATATCATATTTGCTTTTCGTTTATTGTTTTGAACATAAATCAGGCTGCTACCACATCTTCTATTTTTAATACTATCAGTTCTTTTAGATCCAAATATACTCAGCAGCAAAATATGATGACTGGAGGTGGATATTTCCTTTATTTACTTGTAAATAAATACATTTGATGATTCAAAACATTGCTTCCAGGCAGTGCGACTTAATATTTTTATGATGTATAAATGAGCTGTTTTAATTTTGCTTTACACAACATCTAATATCAAAAGAAGATGTGGTATGATTGCCAATGAGACAACTCTCCACAATAGACCAAATGACACACAGAAATTAATAAACTATAGGTCACCGTACGGCCTTCAACAATGAGCAAAGCCCATACCACAGAGTCAGCTATAAAGGCCCCGAAATGACAAATGTTAAACAATTCAAACGAGAAACTAAAGGCCTAATTAATGTACAAAATAATGAAAGAAAAAAAAATATGTAACAAAGCAACAAACGACAACCACTGAAATACAGCTTCCTGACTTGGGACAGGATTGCGCCAACTATAAGGCCGTGTTCACATTGAGTTTAACTCGGTGTGGTGTAAGTGTACTCAACACTTAAACTAAACTCTATTACGTTCCCATTGATAAAAATCAATGTTTACATGTAGTTTAAAACAGGTTTTGACTACATGCAGTCGATATCAATGTAGACCTTATGCGTGTTAAGTGTACACTAAACTAGATATTAAGAACGTTGATTTTATTATGAATATTTTAGGAAGTTACATATATTGAATAAAAATGATTATAATGATTTTATGAATTAAGTTATTTACCTATTTATATGACATGTATGACGAAAACTCAAAATTACTCATTTAAACACATGATAAAATTTATAAGCCTTAGTGGACCATTTGATTCTCAGTGGGAGTGGGGATTGTTTGCTGATAGAATATTATTTTTTCCGGTTGATAGTACGGATTATCTTTTCAGCGCGAAAACTATCTTCACTTTTTATACACGACAATATCTTCCAAAGTCGTCTTGCATTTGGTAATATTCATTTTCATCACGTCTATGACAAGAGTATTTTTTACAGTTAGTTCAAGTCCAGATTATTCATTTCCAAAATCACCCTGTGGATGTCTAGGGAATAGAAATATTGTCACTAAGGTATTCTTCCGATCAGCCGTAAAACCATAAAGTGGGGCGTCCGTTTGGCTGTGCGGGATGTACAAGTACTCAGCCACGTCTGGTCAGTATGGGGACATTAAATCTGATGCCTCATGTAGAGAGAGTGTCACACTATCTGCGAGTTAAGATCCGTTGCAACAATTCTTTGAGGTGTCCTGTTGCAGGGCAAAATTTCTGTCCCTATCCAATATTTTCCAGTGGCAGTGCAAATTGTCCCGATCTTCATTTCGGATGGCCTCTATTGCATGACCTACCTATTGTATTTATTGGGAATTTGTTCTCGTCATGAACATGCATGAAATATTGGCCACTGGATGTCAAACAACCGACAATCAATCATTTTTTTAAAATCCTGTGTTTGCCTATTGTTTAGCCTGTTTTAATAAGATAGAACGATTTTCTAAGGTACCGACCATTCATCTTCGTAGGAAAAGTCATTTTTTTATTACCTTCATAAAAAGCAACCAAGAAAAAAATGAAATACAGGAACTTTTTCTAAACTCCATGTTGAAACCCCCTGTTCTTCATTTTATATAGAATCAAACGATTGTGATCACTTCCCTCCTGAAACAAAAAAATAAATTGAATTCAAACAATTTATCTAACACCCAATCCCCTTTATTTATTATGTGTATTTAACTAGCGGCGTCAACCAGAAGTGGATTCTTGAAAATTCTACAGATTACTCTAAGATCTTCAATGACAATCTTGCAGTAATGGCAACATTTTTTTATTGTTCTCTTTACACAATTATTCGTAATGTTTAATTTAAAGATCGACTACATCGTTTCATTAAAGGGTCATTGGCTGCCAAATTCATGTTCATCGATTTGACTCAAATTCTCATATTTGATGTTTAACTTTCTAAAACGTATATCCAAATCAATATAAGTCTAAAATAAACAATTTACAATTTACAGACTCGATGATATATATCAGCATTTCATGTGTATTTAAGTCTAGACGCCATCTAAGTAATGATTGATATGATTTCGAAGACTGCCGACGGTCATATAACCCGATACAAACATAAACAGATAGCAACTTACCTGCAATTGGATTTATCTAGGTCTGTTTGATTTTATGTTATAGGTTAAAACAAAGAATTTAATCATCGTTTTTACCTGTATAAGAATATTTTTTTGTAGATCAAATTAGTCAACAAAATGGTTCATCTTTGTTTCACTATTTAGTCCATTTTAGGTAATATACTTTTGACGTGGCTCAGTATTCATACATCCCGCCATATTGTTATTGTGCTATGGTCATTTTTTGTATCCTTGTCTTTTATTATTGCTTAGTTATTTTGTCTATAGAGTTTCAATATGCCCAATTTGTTTTTCTTAGTTGAAATAGTTATTTGTTTTATAATGATTGGTATAATAACACAATGTTAACTGCTGTACCAAAATTTTGACCTTTTTACATTATGTCTGTTTGTTTTGCACACACATTGATGTCAATATAATGGAATTCTATGTGACTGTCATACAAGTGAGAGATTTAGTTAGCTATTAATCAGGTTTATTCAAAGTCAGGTTTATTCCACCATTTTCTACATAAGGAAATGCCTGTACCAAGTCAGGAATATGACAGTTGTTTTCCATTATTTTGGTGGTTAAGCTTTTCATTTTGCCACTTGATAAAGGACTTTTCGTTTTGAATTTTCCTTTGAGTTCGGTATTTTTGTAATTCTACTTTTTGCTCCTCTTCAAAGAATATATCTATATATTCTAGTTATATAAAGTCAAAAGAATACAACCGACGAGCAAAAATTGATGATTCAGCACAAGCAGAAACACACGTTCACATGGCAAATGTACAGGTCTAAAGATTTGTGCAAACATATATTAAAAAATAAGTATGAACGATTAAGTAAGAAGGTGACATATACATTGTCATGAAAAAAATGACCTATGTCTTTTTTATATTTATAACATGATGCAAGTAATTCCTCATGAAGTTTTGAAAGATTGCATTATAATCTATTTTTGTTTCGTAATTTCAGACATGTATACTCTTTTGGTTAGAATATAAAATGTTTTTAACATCATTAGCATAGTCAAATTCTAAAGGAGTTGTTTTAAATTTGAAAATGTTTGCACATGATTTTGAATCTTTGTTGCATTAGACTTTGAAATATTGAACAGTCTTGATTTATATCTTTGTTTGCGTTAACTTTTCACGAAATTAACATAAATTTAAGTATTATGTGTATTACTTAAATTGTAATACACATAATAAATTGTCAGAATTTCAATGCAGTACACTTGCCAAACAAAACCTTGATATTTGTCTTTGTGTCAGTATTATGAATATATCTCTCAACGTGTGTTTTCTTAAAATTATATATATTTGTTTTTCAAATTGGTTTATTCGTTATCATTTGCTACTAAACTCAAGTATAGGGAAGTTAGGCTAAGATTTTGATGAAAGAAGTGTTGAATCGTATAATTAAATCATTCATTATACAGCATATTACAGTCTGATATTTAAAATACCAGATCGCATTTCAAATAAAACGTCTTATATTATTACAACAGGGACTTGAAAACACATATGTCAAACCATATTACTTACTATGTATTTATTTTCTTCTTTTTGAAAGGGGATACGGTTTAACTGGTGTTTAGAATGAAACATCATTTTACCAACACTTGCAATTTTGCTTAAACTTGTTATGTGTTTCTATAGTCTTCCACATCATATATGAATCACTAGCATTCTTTAAATTATTTATGTAAAACAAATGGCATGGCTTTTCATTGAAACTTTCCTGCACATCCTTTAAATAACAATTCGGCCGAACTATTTCTATGTTTAAAATCCAGGGAATAAATCCACTTCCATAAACATCTTCTAGCCAAAAAAACGGAACAATACGTGTCGCGTCATACATTCGTCTAATTACATTAATGGACATAATGGAGGATGGTCCTGCACAAAACGGGGGAAACGTTGGAAACCGATAGTCTGAGACAGGCGTATACCATTTGCTATGAGGTTCACGGTACGGCCTTGATCCAAAAATAGTAAAACATTCTAAAGCAGTTGTGATGTTCTTATTCATCTTATTGTTAAGGTAAGGAATCAGAAATGGAATATTAATAGTAATATCATCGTCAATTTTGATAACATAAATCGCATTTTCACAGAATTTATTTACCCAGAACAAGCTAAATACTCTTTTGTATGTTAAATTTCTGTAGCTGTCTATAAAATTTCCTTGTATGATATCCCTGTATCTGACACTTTCCTTTTCAATTTGTCCTTGCAGTGTATCATTATTAGTTTGCCCTAGCACAAAAACATACTCAATATCTCTATTGGCAAAATGTGAGATCGATCCAAACGTATTCCTTATTATCTGACGTCCGTCAAATTTATATGTTGCCGAATAAACAAGAACTAACAGGAACTTATTCTGTTCTTTACACTCCTTACCAGTATTTAGTAGCGTACTGTATTGATGTTTGTGAATGAGAGGGTCCATCAGTTTATAGGGTGATACATTCATATAAAAATGTTCAAACTCAGTTGAAATATATTTTCCATTGTATCTTATGAACGTCATACTCTTGCTGAATATCCGTTGCTGACTTCTATCAAGTATGTTTTTTTCATCAACAAACAGCAACAAACATATTGTAAACAGAAGTATCAACAGAGTTTTCTTGCGTAATTTCATTAATCTAAGGATTTCTTTGATGCGTTGGAATCGAGTCATTTCTCGTTCGCACCTAATGGTTTTCATCGCAGTCACATCACATTGGATGAAATTAAAAATATTAATGACGCAAGGAAATTCTATTTCGGTTATTTAAAGATATACCATATTCCATTCAGGTTTTTTTTATATATAAAATGCTTCAGTAACTTTGGAGCAATAAAACCTATAGAAATGCCAGCTAAATTATCGATTTTTTATCTGGTCAAATCAGTGAAATCCTAATATCAATAATTAATACTGATAGCATTAACGTGTTCCTCCCTACAGAAATTGTCCCCTTTTCAATATATATTCTTATCTCTTCGGATTGCCGGATTGTCAGTTACAATTATAATTCACAGTAAGATGTTCAGTATTATATAATATCTTGATATCTAGGAAGTTTTTGATATGTAAAGCATTGTTTCCACATTTAAACAAGGTCCAGAAAATTTGGTCGTTATAGATAAAGACAACAGTAGTATACCGCTGTTCAATAGTCATTTAACTGAAATCGATTTTACTGAAACAAATCCGGGTCACAAACCACTACCGAGGGAAATACAACAACTATATAGAACTGACAACAAAAATATCATACACTGAAACAAGGATGTACTCACGGTCGAAAACAGTATACTCGCAATGTCATAGGATGAACAATATTAGATTTTCAGGCAGAATTTTCCAAAGGACCCAAACATTCTTAAGGCTTTTTTTAATCAAACTTAAATGATAAAATGATATTCAAACCTAAGGATTTTACCTAGGAGGAAATTAGCAATCATAGTTAGCTTAATAATAAGAAAGAAAAAAACATATATTTGTCTATCTTTCTTTGGGTTTAGAACTACTGATGAGAATTAAATGATTCGCAATGCGTAAGTTATCTATTTTAGTATATTGTACGGAAAAGTTAAATAATGTAAATAAAATAATAAAAAGATATGAAATAATAAATCAACACCTAACATTGATGAGGATTAGCCCGCTTTCTATTAAAAAAATATGTTAGGGCAAATAAAACACTCTACACACATTTTACAAGTTAATGAAAATGACACCAACGTTCATGTACTGTAAACAAGGAAATTTTCGCGGCCGTTTCATTTTCGCTATTTTCACGGTAAGAATTGAAACGCGAAAATAAAATGACCGCGAAAATTTCTAGAAAATTCTATTCATAAGATGAAGACCATACATAGGATATGTAAAGGACCACTGTATAACACGGATTTCATAGACGTCAGATCGATACTTCAAATCATAACTGTATTTCTAAATGAAAAGTAATGTGACTTTAACTCAAGGTAATCTTATTAATACGGAAGACATCTCAAGCAAGCGGACATTACGGATATTGTTATGTAAACAACACTCGTTACAAATATGTAAATGACACCTGTCAATCAGTTTTAAAAGTATTTCCTCGTTGAATCTGCTACACAGATTAATCAGATCAAAAGGTCGATTAATTAGCATTAATCCCGACAGCTTTTTATTTAATTCACTCAGCATAAATCCCGACAGCATTTTATTTAATTCACTCTTAACTGAGTCTTCTTTTCTGTTTATTGTGTATGTGTTTTTACAAGCAAACATGACACAACTTTTAATCTCCTTTAACATGAATGAACCGAAAACAAATGATTTCTGATTGATTTTATCACTTGATTTACAATACGTGTAAAGCTTTCTAAATCATTTATGAAAATATTTATATTGGACACAGGGAAATCGCGATTAAAAACGGCGCGAATTCAGATTATGTTCATAAATCGCGAAATAATGACGGCGCGAAAATTCTCGGTTTACAGTATACAGTTTTTAGTATCAATTGATAAAAAACGAAACACATGTTAACAAAAAAAATAACGTGTATTAAGTATTATTACCGATTATACATACATCTGTTGTTGTTGTTATATATACAAGTCTAAATTGAAAACAACATATATATATATATATATACATAAATATATATATTATTTCTGGGATTGTAGCGAAAAAATTTTGCAAAATATTTTAGCTTACAGGAACTAAAAAAACTAAATCAACTTCAAAAGAAAACGTTTTACCGAACATTTCAACTCACAATCCCAGAAATAATGAAGCGTACAATACAATACATAATAATTTAACATTTTTACAGAGCGGTCAGAGGGTGTAGAAATTTTTTAATTCGCATAAAGTAATTAAAAGTAAACGGCAACCGAAATCGTTGAAAAAGTTGCTGACTCGCGCGACATTCCAAACTGAAAATAGTCAACCAAAGCTACAAAAATGTGGACGACCAAATTGTGAATCTTGTTTATACTTATCCAAAGGAACAGAAATAGTTTTTAAATCCGGACACATTTTAAAAATCAAGAACAGTCTTACATGTGCATCGGAAAACCTTTTATATATTATAAAAAAATAAAAACAACACGTTAAATAATTTCATGCGTCCGAAGCGCTTTTCTGGATTTACCTTCATCGAGAACGCTCAAAGCCGAATATTTGAAGCCGAGAATGTATAAAAACCGAAACAGTTGAAGAGCTATATGACAAAAAAAAAATCAATATAAATAAAATATATTACTTGCAGTGGTTGTCAAGAAAATTATATTAGACAAACCGGCAACACGATTAGAAAACGAATGATAGTACATAGACAGCAAATTCAAGTCCCAAGTACAAGAAATGTTCCACTTAGCGAACATATTGATTTATGCGCCGGATCAAATCATCCAAATTTCTTTATTTTTCCATTTTATCAGTGTTCAGATAAAGCAACGGAACCAATATAGAATTAATAATGAAAATAATTTCTTAACAAATAACGTCCAAAATTAAATCGATAAAATGAGAATCAGGAAGGCGGTTCTATATTGTTACTTTTAACTTTCGTTTTTAATAATGATGTCGCTAAAAGACGATACCCCTGACCCAAAGCTACCATATCCACGAATATCTGTGAAACAGTGAAACCGGAAGTAAATTATGGAGAACGTTTTAGAACAATTTGATGTCTTAATAGACAAAATGTGATTATTCATATTGAAAATAAATATTTAGTGCATTTTCAGCCTTATTTTTTTCATATATATAAAATTGAGAATGGAAATTGGGAATGTGTCAAAGAGACAACAACCCGACCAAAGAGCATAAAACAGCCCAAGGCCACCAATGGGTCTTCAACACAGCGAGAAAATCCCGCACCCGGAGGTGCACTAGTTCAGTGAAACTGAAACTAAATGAACTAAATTTTAAAAAAAACATACAAGAATAACAAAAGCCAGAGGCTCCTGACTTGGGGCAGGCGCAAAAATGCGGCGGGGTTAAACATGGTTTGTGAGATCTCAACCCTCCTCCTATACCTCTTGCCAATGTGGAATAAACAAACACACAGCAATCCGCACAGTAAAACTAAGTTTAAAGAAGTCCGAGTCCGATTTCAGAATAAATATCAGAAGAAACTAAGATAAATGACAATAAACAGCATGAGATGGTGACAATGGAACGTCACCATCTAAAAATGAATAATTAACAATAGGAAATGAAAAATCATCTCTTCTTTCGTAAATTTTGGTATTAAGCTTCCCGTTAAAGATATAGATATCAAGATCCAGGAAAGGGCAGTGTTCATTGTTAGTATTAGCTTTATTTAAAGTCAGTTCAGCAGGATAAATCTCTTTAGTGTACATACTAAAGTCATTATTGAGAGCCAATATATCATCCAAATATCTAAAAGTGTTATTACATTTTTGTATCAGATGTTGTTTCGATGAGGCTTTGCTGATTTTAGTCATAAATTGTAACTCATAACAATACAGAAACAGGTCCGCAATAAGTGGTGCACAGTAAGTCCCGATTGGAATCCCGATAACTTGACGATATACGGAATCTCCATAGCGAACAAAAATGTTATCTAGTAAAATTTCAAGTGCAGTTATCGTATCAAAGCAGGTCCAATTGACATGGTTCTTTTGTTTGTTGTTACTAAAAAAATGAGCTAAAAGAGTTTGAGCATATATATAATCGCATTCTGACTTTTTATATGCCCATTGAATTAGGCGTGTGATTTTTTTCTTAATGAGGGTAAGGTATATAGGGTAGAAAAATCAAAACTTTGAACAGATTCGAAATCACCAATATAAGCATGCAATTTATCAAGTACTTCCAACGAATTTTTGACACTCCAAAAGTAATTAATTCCACTATTTTCAAAGGCCTTATTTGAATAATTTATTACCAGGTTTTTAATTGTACCAAGTGTACTAGTAAGTAGAATAGACAGTTTAGTATGGAACAATGGCTTGAAGACGAACTAAATCTATATTTGTAAGGTGTTTTGTGCAGCTTCGGAAGCCAGTACATAGTTGGAACTTTTTTTGTATTTGGTTCTGTTTGTTAAGAGGTAGCTGAAAGTTTATGTTCGTTACAGATGTCATTTTCCGAAAATGGAGTCAGTTGAAATGTTGGTGAATTCGTGATTTCCCTTTGCAAACCTGAATGTAAAATTTACGTCAAACAATAATGATATTATTGGCAGTCTTATCAGTCGGGACAAAAACAAATTCTTTGGCGAGTTCTTTCAGCTTATGTTTGATACGAGAAATATATATATATGGACGAAGGCTATTTGTTAAGCCGAAATATTTGTCAACACGATTTTATAACATCATCTTCGTATATTACCATCTTATATTAGTACCATTGTGCAAATCTTTAGACTTATATATATGTATATTTACTATACATATATATATATATATATATACACGTCTAAACATATGACAACTTTATGACAGACATTCCCCATTGGATAACAATTGGTTATACAGGGCTAACACCATAATACATATGTATAAAATTCGTCTCAAATTTAGCCCAACAATGTTAGATCTAACGCAAATTTGAAGATCTAACATTGTTGGTATATATATATATATATACCGGATATGGTGTATAAAAAATTTTTGCATCTCATGTTTCTGGTAAACCAACTTTTCCACAAATTTATTGTTTTCTGTTTGGTATTAAATTAATATTAAGATCCATTTTGTACTG